TGCCTAGTTAAAAATATCACTAGAATTCATTCTTAAATAATCTCCTGTCAATAAGGATGTGGTACGTGTATTATGATCAGCAATTTTGCCACCAAATGACATCGCAGGATAAACGGTTATGACTCGGAATCCTTTGAACCGAGTGATTTTGCCGCCAAATGGCACCACGAGATAACAATTATGGTCAGAACCAATACGTTCCTTAGTGGCATCAAATCCTTGAGATATGAATAAATAGTATATGATCGATAGGGCATAAAGCCCTCTGTTAGCTAAGATGGATTCAAAATTGTCCCTTTAGGCAAATACCCACTCCAGGTCTACAAGGTACCCTTATAGACGACGCAACCCATGGTTGCCGACAGGGATCCTTCTATCAGGTTGGGTCGACTACCTCCACTGACTAAGTAGACCAAGGACCACGATTGCTCGAGACAACGGAACCATGGGATCTTGATCGCGTCCATCATTCATTCCCCCACTATCCGCTTTAAGTGTAAGATGGTGCAATTTCAAATTTTAAATATTTAACTTTCAAACATTTGATCCCATGCTACTACTATATGCCAGATAACATGTATCCCTACGTATCTGATTAACGATTAGCCTTAATCGCAAGTTCTCTCTCGTGATCGGGAGGGATAATTAATTATAGGGGCTTGTGCCTATAGGAAATCAGAACTCAGATCATAAAGTCCTCGCGAAATGAGGACGAAATCTCTAGATAGTGTCTTATCTACAAAACCATCTGCCTTCTCAAAATTTACCCCGAAACTTAAATCCGTTAAAACTCCCCCGAAGAAAAGCAACGCAAGGGAGGTCGGGGCAGAAATTTTGGAGCCTACATGCTTCCATGTGTTCCTCTGGAGGATTATGCATGAATTGACTTACAACACTCATTGCATTGTCTGATATCTGCCAATATCTGCAAAATTATCTTTCTCAATGCCAACTTTCTTCTGACTATCCATAAGAGTATCAACAGTTTTTCATCTAAGTATATCAGTCTCCTTAAGAAGATATAGAATATATTTCCTTTGAAAAATAATAATGCCCTGTCTTGATCCAGCCACTTACATTCCAAAAAAAATATTTAAGATTTCCAAGATCTTTAACCTCAAATTCTTCTAACAAATACTTCTTCAAATTTTGTAATTCTTCCACATCATTCACAGATAAAACAAAATCATCGACATAGACTATCAATATAGCAATTTTTTCAATGTAATATCAGGTTGACTATATATATTGCCTAGCTTCAAAATAGACTCAATGAATCTATCAAACCATCCTCGTGGAGATTTTTTAAGGCCGTTCAATGGCTTCTTGAGTTTGCAAACCTAATTCTGTCCTTTTTTTTTCAAAACCAAGTGGGATTTCCATGTGGACTTCCTCTTCGAGAACTCCATTTAGAAAGGTATTTTTATGTCCCATTGTTGCAAGTATAAATCTTGATTGACACCCAATGAGGGAAGAATTGGAATAGTGTTATGCTATGTGAATAAGAGAAGAAGTCTAAAAGTGTTAAGCTTTGCGATAGGAGCAAAAGTTCTACATAGTCAATCCCATATGATTGTGTAAATCTTCTAGGTACCAATTGAGCCTTGAACATCTCAACTGATCCATTTGCTTTGTACTTTATAGTGAAAATTCACTTGCACCCCACAGGCCTTTTTCTAATTGGCAAATTAGTAATAATTCATGTACCAATCTTCTCAAATGCATCAATCTCATCTTGTAATGCTTTTTTTCAAAATGAATTTTGCAATGCCTCTTGTATTGTGCTAGCAACCTAGATATTATCAAGAGAAGTAGCAAATGCTTTGTAAGACGGTGATAACCCTTCATAAGTAACCTATGATGCACCGACACTTCTCCTCAAAGAGGCGTGCAGTGTCCGACACGTATCTGACACGACACTCGCCCGACAATCCAACACGTATCGGACACGCCGAAAATGTGTCCGATTAAAAAAAAAACTAAATACAAATTGGACACACGTGACCGACATGCGTATCTTAAATATTTTTTGAATTTTTTTAAATATAATTTCTTGTATTTAGAGAGATTTAAATAAAATTTCTTATTTCTTATCCACAACACCAAATCAACGTCCGCACTTAATATCCATTAATCGAATATTCTCATTTTCATTTCTCATTGGCAGTGAAGGCATTTTAATCTCCTCTCTTGGCGACTGATGAACGGCATCGAGGCTAGACTCTCGACATCCTAATATTAATCATTTTAAGCAAAAATTCTAGTTAAATGACTTATTATTTCTAAATTATTTTTAAAATTATACTTATTTAATTTTTTAACATAATTTTTAAAATATTAAAACTATAATATCGTGTCCAACCTGTGCTCGTATCCTATATTCTCAATAGATGACGTGTCTAGTGTCCGTATCGTGTCGTATCCGTGTCTGTGTATGTGCATCATAGTAAGTAATATCATTCCTAATTAGATGACTTATGCATCTCCTAACACCCTTCCTCAAAACAATTGGCATTGGTGGAGTCATCAATATTGGGAATTGGCACATCCGCCAACCTCATTCGTACCTATACTTTCTTCAGTTGGACTTGAGTCAATATCTTGGCTACATGCTTGTTTTGATCCATGCTCTACCTCCTATCTTTTCTTCCTCCTATTGTAGACTTGAAAACTTTCATCAAGTTGTGGAGCCACAGATTGAGCAGGCATGGGAGAAAAAATATTCGTGGTCTAGATTGATGACTGAATATGTATAGTTGTGGACGAGTATTATGTACGGCCTTGGGGTATAAGCACGGGTTGAGAAGAACTTAGAGACTCTGAGTGGTTAAAGGGCACAAACATAAAAAAGGAACTCCCAAATTTGATGTTCATTCATGCTCTCCTCTTGAACATGAGATTCAGGATAAAATGACACATGTTCAAAGAAAGAGACTACCATGGTTGCGTAAAATCTTTTGTTGGTTAAGAATAACATTTGTATCATTTTTTAGTTGGACAGTGCATCAGAATAACACTTATTGGCTCTTGGATCAAATTTGCTACAGTGTTGAGAATACATATGAATAAATGTTGTGCACCCAAATACCTTGAGTGATAAATCAGACGAAGTTGCACAAGTGTAAGAAATATTTTTTGGAAAAATGTGATGTGGAGATTGAAAATTAAGAACTCTGGATGGCATAGGATTAATCAAATTGGTACTAGTGAGAATGGCTTCCATACAAAAATAATTTGAAACATTAGAGAAGACAAAAAACACTGGGCAACCTCGAACAGATGTTTATTCTTACGCTCAGCCACCCTATTTTGTTGACGGGTGTCAATACAAGAACTTATGTGGATAATCCTATAGTTCTGAATGTAGGTATTGAGACTACAAGTGAAGTAATCCCTAGCATTATCAGACTTTAGTACCTGAATTTTAGAGTTGAATTGATTTCGAACCATAAGATTGAAGGTTAGAAAAATTTGTTCGACCTCAGACTTTTCTTTCACAAGGAAAACCCAAGTCACCCTGATATAATGATCAACAAATGTTACAAATCATCGAGTGCCCAAAACATTTATTATCATTGAGAGCCTACACATCACTATGGATCAAAGAAAACGCAATTAAAGGTTTGTACGGAATTTGAGAAAATATATTTTGAGTATGCTTTGCAATCTGACAAGTTTCACAATGAAAAGATGCTGACCTTTTTATTAATAAATAATTTGGGAAACAATTTTACAATATACACAAAGTTATAATGACCAACACAATAGTGTAACAATATAATTTTATTATCTTTATTGATATTGGAATTTGACACAGAATTGAAAGATTCTAACAAACTCTGAGATTGGATACAACTTGCTTGGAATTTTGGTTTGAGGGTCAGTCACATGGGAGGAGATAGAGCCCGGAGGATAGTTCAACACTGTCAATCATCTTCCCTGATTTCAAGTCCTAAAAAACTCACAAATTTGGATAATATTTAGTAATACATTGAAGGTCACGAGCCAATTTGTTAATGAACAAAAGATTATAATCCATGTTTGGAACATAGAGGATAGAGTTGAGAAACAACTCTTTAGTAAATTGAATGGAACTTATTTCAACAATTTTAAAATTTGAATCATCAACAATACGGATGGGCAAGTGACTACTAATTGGCTTATAATTTTGGAGAAGGGCAACATCTCCTGCCATATCTATCCATGGCCCCATGTCTCCTCTGTTGGTAGTGAAGGCAGTATGTAAATCTATTTGAGCAAGCAAACCTGACCTAGTAATGCTATCACTATCAACTTGACTAGACAACTTCTACAGCAAATTCATCTGCTCCTTGCTAAATGGGCTAGGCTCTCAAATAGGAGCACTCTCAGAGTTGGAAGCCACATGAGCTTTGCTGTCTCTATCAAACAGTAGCTTTGGTTCCAATTAGCCAGTTTGGCATGAAGCTTCCAACAAGCCTTCTTATAATGATATGATTTCTTACAGTAATCACACCAAAACCTTTTCAATTTCTAACAATCACCACCATTATTGTTAGATGATCGGACAACAAGAGCAGATGCATCCAATGTTGATGTAGGTTATTCCTTAGATCCCATCATCACTTTCTTTCTACTTTCTTCACATCTAACCACTGATAAAGTCTCCTTAAGATTAGGCAATGGTTTAGTGCTCATGATTCAACCTTGAACATCATCCAACTCTCTGTTAAGTCCTAAGAAAAACTTGAAAAGCCTTTTTTCTGTAATCTGCTTGTATATTAATGCATCTTCTGGACAAGTCCATGAGTGAATTTCGAATAAGTCAAGTTGTTGCCAATATTGTGTGTGTGTCTTAATACTAAGTAATAGACTGCTCTCCTTGGCGGAATTCATGAAGTATTTTCAGAGCTAAAATAAGTCTCTTTGGCTGCATCCCATATTTCTTTTGTATTCCCAAACAATAAGAAATTTTCATACTATTTATACCCAAAGTGATTTGTGTACAAAAGAAGACTAACCATTTCCAAACATCTTGCTAAGGCTCTTCTCTTGGTATGGCCTTGGTTGAGCTTGAGGTTTCAATTCCATGTTCAAGTCAGGATTGACCTGTTTAGAGTACAAAAAAGTAATATAAAATCTACTTGCAAAGAGAAGAAATATTTCACGAAATCAAAGTGAACCATATAAAAAGTGTTTGACATGTGCAGAACAAAAGAGAAACAAAATGAGAATTTGGTTTTATCTTTCGGAATATGGGACAAAGAAATAAATTGTAAGTGATAACATGAGAATCAATTCCAGTAGTAATTGAATCACATATCTGGATACTTCAGTGAATAGTACAAAAAGTTATCCAAAAGCTGAAGTACCTTAGGTCTAGGCTCTTTAATATAGGTATAGTAATAGATTCAAAAAAACATACAACACACAAAACTTGCAATCCACAAGCTCCAAATTTTAGCAATTATTCATTACTTATGATTAAAAATAAAACATAATTAACTTCCATGAAGATTATAATGTAATAACTTTCTTAAAAAAATAAAGCACAGAAATTCAACACCATGAAAAAACATGCAAGTAATTAAAAATCCTGCACTCATATAAGCCTAGATCATATCAAACTAAATAAAATCAATCATACATTCAAATCAAAGTTATATTTTAGAGATAGGAAATAAAATAGCAGGAAAGAACCACTAAGGTTTTATTTAGGATGACTTTCTTACTACTTCTTAAAGCAATTTTTTAATAAAATATTTTTAAACTAAAATTTTTTTACTAGAAAGCTGCTTTAGAAAGCAATAAGAAAAGTTTCCCAATTCAAGCCTAAACCTAACCAACAAGGAGATAAGATCACCCAAAAATCATAAAATTTTTCAACTTAGAATAAAACTCTTGAAAGTAAAAGAAAAAATAAATTCAACTAGAACTTTATTGATAACCAAAAACAAATGTTTTTATTAGCTTAATACCCCCTCATTGTTATAAAATACTTCCTAGAATTTTCACAAATATATAAAAAGGCTTGTTTTCATGAACCAACAAATCCCGTAGAAGAGCCCTTAAAATTCCGCAGAATATTATGTATTTTTTTTTGCAGAAAAGCCCAATTCGAAAAGAGCTAGCTAAAACCCACCGAAATCCCACATATGAAGGAAGTTGCCAAGCAAATTTGCCAGAGAAGATCCATTAATCTCGCTAGAATAAGAAAACCATAAACACACTCATATCGATTCCACTTCCAAACACCTACAGAAGACTTTTCATAAATATTGCTAGCCACGCAACACAGTGAAGAACACAACAAAAGGCAGTCACTACAACAATAGTATGCAAAGGAAGGGAACTAACTGGACTTCATCACAAGAATGGAAGGTTAAAGATTTGTATTTAGCTATCTAGCCTGGAAATTTTTTTACTCACACAAACTATTCAATTGATATTCATCAAGCTGATATGAAAATAATTATCGTATTTCTTATAGAGAAATTCATGAACCATCATATATAAATTTATCTCTCAAGGTACCGTTGATATCCACCAATAGTAATAGGCATGATTCATTGCTAAAAATAGTTTTAAGAATAACTTTGGGATGATAGTTTGTTTAATCAGAAAATGCATTGAAAGTGAAATTCAAAAAAAGTAGAAAGTAAAAAAAATTCAAGACATTAGTTGATAATTTATGATAAGAAAATTAAAAAAATTAAAAATTAGATTAATAAAAATTTTATGAGAATTCCAACTTCTAAGTATTCAAATTAACATATTACATAACTTTAAACGATCATGCTTTTCCATCCGTTAATTTCTTAAAAGAACTCGCAAGAAAAGAGTAGAAACTCAAAATAGTCCTCCGACTATTGATAAATATTCAATTCAGTCCAAAAGTTCCCCATTACCCCAATATAATCCCTCAACTACTAAAAATTGATCCCATTAAGTCCCTAAATCTAAAATAAGTATTAAAGAACTCCGAAGCTAAATATGAGGTCAGTTTTGATAGTAAAAGTGTATATGAGATTATACAGCATACATTACTCTATTTTATATTTTAATAAAATATAATACATGCTTAATTTACTAAAAAATATGGGTAAATAATTATTGAAAATTTTTCTATTTTTAAAACAAAATCTAAATTGTTTTCTAAGTAATTGATAAGCAAATATATCTGGTCTCCTTGTAAATGTCACACATTGTTTTTCTCCTCCGTGATCGCTCGCAGTAGAACGACCTCTCGCGTTATTCATGGTCACTCACAGTAGCAAATGTCTCGCATCTCTCTTGCGAGCGCATCGTGTCACTTGCAGTAGAATGGCCTTTCGTGTCTTGCATGCAGAACGTCAAAGCACGGCACCTTGCTCCCAGCTGCAGGGCTTCTCCATCACACAATTCGATCTCAAGTTACGTCTCTAAGAAATATAGAAGGAAATCAAACGATTAGGTAAAAAGTAATTTTACTAAAATACCCGCAAAGAAGTGAGTGCTTGCATCTTTGCTCGCTTCTTCCATAAATTTAAACGGAAATTTTCATAGAGGGACTAAATTGGACAATTGCAGGGGTAAATTAGGATAAGACGAAACTCTGGGACTAAATTGGACATTTATCAATTTTCGGGAGATTATTTTGAGCTTTTACTCTACAAGAAAACTTGGAAATTGTTCAATCAATTTATTCCAAATTTATCTACTTCACATCTTCACAGGCTTATACTTTATATGATTAACAATAAATTTTTCATGAATACTTGCGTGGAAATTATGCAAATGACTAACAGATGATGCAATAAGATATGATATATGTGAAAAAAATAATAATAATATGCTCCCTAATGGATAGACTATAACTAAAGCCAAGAGGAGGAAATGAATGTAGTCATAAAATTTAAATGTATCAGATTCCATAAGGTTTTTCTATGGTAACAAAGAACCCACAAAAATAGGATGTATCATATGGGGAAACAACCACTTTAAGGAAAAAGTAACCCAAACTGTCGAAAGATTAATCATCATAAACTTTTTTTTATCTTCGAATTCAATCTCATTGATGGAGATTTATTTTTTTTCATTCTTGCAGGCAATCATCATCAATATATCCTTTGATATGTTGACGCAACTTATACTTTCTCCAAAAGATTCTTTCTTAATTATTAAGTCTTAAAAACTAAGAATTAAGAAGAAAAAAAAAACATAGCAATATTATTAAACATCATAACAGTTCATACATAATTCATAAGGAGTTGCAGTATCAAACTGCCTAATTAATTCAAAAACTTCAACAAGCTTAAGTAATTCAGCTTCACAAATGGAGATAGATTCAACTTTTAATTAGAAGTTAGATTTAATCTTAATCACAAGCTCAAATTCAATTTCAGATTTAAATTCTAACTCACTCTCTATTTATGCTCATAAATATGTGCTAGTGTATAATCCAATGCAAATTTAGATTCAATAAAATTAGTTAAAAAAATACATTATAAATGTAAATAGTTTTCTACAACTAATAAACCATTTACCGAATATTCTTAAAATATAATTTCTTTAATATAAACAAATTTAACCGAACAAGAAACTTTTGTTAATGTGAATTTAATAGGCTTACATGAAATTCTAGTGTGTTTCTTTGAAAAATATTAAGCGCTGAAGCAGTATTCCTAACAAGAGAATTGTAATATTTTAAAACCCTAAAGCATCATATAAAGCGTCTTTATTCCGTTTGAAGAATCATAACTTAATCTATGCTTGATTTCTTGCTTATGAACTTTAATTAAAAAAATATAAATAAATAGTAATCTATAAGAAAATAACATTTGTCAAAAATCCTTTATATTTTATAAAATATTCAAACACATTATGTCACTTTTTTTAAAATTTCTTAAATTAAGAATACAGTTGGTTCCTAAAATACTTGAGTGACAAATATTGTCATAAGTTTATGCTTCATATGGTTACTATATTGATTTTGTTGTAGCAGCAACACTTTACCAAAATTATTAATCAAATTCTAATTTAGTTTTAGCAAATTCAAAGGATTAAATCATATTAAATTTTCCAAGGAATTATTCTAAGCTATCTAAACCTCAAAGAATATCTTAAGATTATACCTCTCACTGAATGTATAAATAGAATCTGTCTCATAATAGTTATGTTGAAATTATCTAGAATTATAGTTTACCCATTTTTATTTAGATTACATCTTTTATTATATTGCTTAATGACTTTAATATAATATCCTCCAACTAAGAACTATTATGATGCATCCTTAGGCTCTAATATCTAATTTGCTGTAAGGTATCATAAGGTCTAGGATTCATAATGCTAATATAGTATGAGATGTGCATAATCTTGCAACACGCACAAAACTTCACGGTCCACAAATTCTTAATTTCAACAATCATTTGCTAATTGGAATGAAAATTGGAAATAAGAAGACTTTCATTGCATAGGAAAATTCAATAGCTTTTAAATAGAAATTTGAAATTAAAAAAATAAAACATGCCACTAGTTAAGAATTAGACATTCATAGAAGTCAAAATTGCCTAAAACATGAATAAAATCAATCAAATTTTCAAACCAATAACACGTTTTAAAGATAAAAAGTAAATTAGAAGGAAAGAAGCCACCAAATCAAGCCTCACTTGTAAAAACAGATTACCCCTCCAGAAAAATTTCAAGTTTCTCACTTGCTTTAAAAAGTAGGCACCTAGAAATAGAGAATAGCACATCAAATAAGATCTCTCTTAAAACCTTAAGAAAAAACTTACAAGCCAAAAAAATCCTATTTATAATTGTAGAAAGTATTCATCCCTGTACAGAGCAATTATACCAGAGAGACAAAGCTGCGAAGCACAGTAAGAAAAGAAGTAAAGACATTCTACATGAGTGTAAAGCTTGAGTATCTTTCTCGTCCTCTTCAGGGTGAATACATTGGTGTGTATATATGTATTTGTCCTTACACGTGTATGCATTGGATGCTTTGTGTTTGTTATGAATGAATGGTGGATATTGGTCCATTTTGTTTGGTGTCAGCTTCCATGTCAGGAGTGATGGATGAATTAGCTGAGTGGGCTTTTACTTCCTCACAAATTGACGGTGGTTGT